TATATATATCTTCAAAATAGTTAATTTAAAGTATCAAAATAGTTAATTTAAAGTACTAGGCACCCTCAACACTAAAAGCCTTTACTAGTTGAGCAGTATACTGTACCCCATCACGTAAAAATCATGGGTTGGCCGCTGATGTTACCTGCTATAATATGTTAAAATATACTCATATGGTAAGAAAAATTAAACTATCATTAAATCCATTTAATACAAAAAATTTTCAAGAAAATCATATATTATTAGGAGTTTCTCTTATATAAAAAATTACCTTCCATCCTTTGGGAATGTAGAAACCATTGAACATGAAATCATTAATAGCTTCTCTAAAAGCACCTTGAAGGGGTGAGGCAAGTCTCAAAACTTCACATGCAACATTCCAAGAATACTTCATCTTCTGAATATCATCCCACCTCAATAACTCACCAGCTGCTTTTGACTTTGCAATTTCCATTTGTTCTGTTAATTATCACAACAATTAATCATTTGTAAATTAAAAAGAATAAAAATCAATTTATAATCACAAGAAGTTGGCAAAGAAAAAAAGAAGAAGTGTATTCTGCTAATTAGAAAGTTTACCTTTTTTAATTACTTTCACTTCAAAGACCCAATCAAAGTTTTACCGGCCAATTAACAATCAGTTTCTTCCAATCGGTCATAAGATGTCCATATGCTAAAGACATGAGAAAAGCTTTGGAGAAAATGCCAAATAAAAAAAGGGACAAAGTCTTTTTTTTTTTTTTTTTTGGAAATAATGTTTTTGCATATTAAGTAGATTGAAAAATAAAAGCAGATTATAATATCTGACCATGCCTAAAGATACAAACAACAACTATCTTTAGGCATGATCAGGTATTATAATCTGGTTTTATTTCTTAATCTGAACTAGTACTAGTATAAACAAAAGATAAAGGCAAAAAATGGGTTGTTGATCTTGCATTTCATGGTTGATAGAGAACTTAAATTGTTGGCAAAAGATCCTTTTCTTTTAATGTTTAGAATTCAAGACTAATCCGGATTTATATTGTAGGGAATATTTTAGTACTTTCTATCAAAGATAATTTAATTCTCACGGCTCGCCGGCTTGAACTCGAAACTTCTAGTACTTAAGGATAGAAGAACTTTTATTATTCCATTACAAAAAAAAAAAAAAAAAAAAAAAAAAGCAATTCGAGTTGGTCTTGAAATAATATATGTATCTACTGTATGTACTTATGCATATATACTTGTGTTTATAATATATGTACATATAAATATTTTATCAATATAGTGAATAATTCCGAAATTAAATTCAAAAGACCTTTTTAACTCAGTGGTAGAGTAACGTCATGGTAAAGCATAAGTCATCGGTTCAAATCCGGGGCTTCGTAAAACTCCAATCTAGTACTTATATTTGATTCAGGATCGGATTAGTGCCTTGCCTACTGTCTTTGAATAATGCTCTGATGATTGGTGGCTAAAGATCTAGAGTAACATATCATTAAAAACCTGACAAGTAGAGTTTACCTTGTTTAAAATAAGTGTCCACTATTTTGTTTTTAGAAATTAATCATTAACAACTCTGATTTGACTATGGGGCAGACTGCTCGAAGGTTTTTCCTTGTGCACTAAAGAGAAGGGAACTTCCTTTTTATTCTTAATTCTGTATTCAACAACTAAATTTAATTTGGAACAAACAAATCGGGCGGTAGTGTTGAACGTTACTCCTATTACTTAACTCATTAGGATTAATTAATTGTCTGAGCTTCCTATTATGAAGAATTTGATGACAGTTTCATTAAGATAATGAAATAAGAGTTTATATTCTGTAAAGATAAAAATTATATTATTAAGTCATTTTATTCTGACATATTAAATTACACTAATGGTACTATCGGTCAACATATATAAGTTAAGCCAATGATATTAAAAAAAGCAGCGCGGTACACAAGATATCTCGTGTTCATGCATAGAATGGACGCACCTCTAAGGGTGTGATGTAGACAGTCTAACCTAATGCAAATATTAATGATTGCTTACACGGCTCGACCGCACCCCAAGGGGTGTGATGTAGACAACCTAACCTAATACAAATATTAATGGTTGGTTCCACGGTACACGGAAACACTTTGCCGTTAGGCTTCAGAGTGAATGATATATAATTGAGAGAAAAACAAGGCATAGGAGACAAAAAGAATAAAGTAATGATAAAATCAATAACTTACCTTTGTAAACTCCTTCATAGATCTCAGGAAGTTCAGCAAGATACTTCACAATGAATGTACAAGCAGAACTAGCAGTATCATGTCCACCAATCAATAATCCTAAAATCTTATCAGCAATATCCAATTCATTCATGAATTTCCCATTTTCATCACTTGTCAAAAGCATATGTGACAATATATCTTGTGTTGGTGATGCTTTCCCTAAAGCCAAATCAACTTTCCTTTGCTTAATAATTAACAAAAGCTCCTTCCTAATTAGATTCGAGGCCTTAATCGCGCGATTAAATGGCGTTCCAGGCAAATCTATAGGGATAGAAATCAATCCAGAAGCTAAAACATTAAAAGGATCAGCAAATTTCGCGACATGGTTAGGATTTTCCACGCTTACAAATAATCGACAGGCTAGCCAAAAGGTGTAACGTTTTGCTAGTGGGAAAACTTCGATTTGGCTCTTATTTTCCCAACTCGAAGCAAAATGGCGTTGCGTGATATGATCCATGATACCAACATAACGTTGTAATGCCTCTGGCTTGAAGAAATTTGGAAGCATTTTTCTCATTTTAATTGCTTCTTCTTTTGATGAAGTTTGAGTTGAAGATGGGAATACTTTGTTTACAGAATCTGGCCACCAAGCTTGTACAAGTTTATTTTCATTAGAAAACAAGAATTTATTGCACGTTGGACCACAAAAGACTGCTGCTTTTTCACCTAAAAGATGAGTTTTAAAGACACTAGACGAATACTTAGACATTCTATCAAATATGAATTTTTCAGGGTGACCTTTCCAACCTGTTGAGAGAAACTCGAAGCTTTCTCCGATGAACGGCCATCCGGTTTTGCCCGGAGGTAGGGTTCCGATTAAGCTGCTGGAGTTTCGCTTGTAAAAGATGAAATAAAGGGCGAGCGACATAAAGAGAGTGAAAAGGCAAAAGAGATAGAGATAGAAGACCTCCATGTTTAGTTTTGTGTTCAAATGACTTGGTTAAGGAAATAAGAAAATCTAACATATAAATGTTGTAAGTTTGGAGAATTTGGAATGGGATGAGTTTTGGTAATGAATTGGATACATATTTATATTGGTGGGAACTAAATATAGTAGGAATTAATAATGTAAATATGGAAGGTCAATTATGCTGGTTGTTGACATCAAAAACAAAAAGGAAATTCCACATAGAAGTTTAAATGGAATCTAGAGGTCTTTTTCTTTTTCTTTTTCTTTTTACCTCATGCAAAACATTTTAAGAAAGATGGAATTATTTAATTAGGTATATACAATACCGTCCTTTACATAAATCCTTGGTGGTTGAGCATCTTATAAATTATGATAATCATTTATTACTATTAATTCATAGTTTACCAAAACAAAATGTAAGAAAAAGTTATTGCAATCATAATCAAATTTCAGTAATATAATATTCCACTTTTTTTTTTGTTCAATCAATTGAATTCATAGATACTTGAGTGATTTTTTTTTTTTTTTGAGGAAACCACTTTTTCTTTTTTCGAAAAACAAAGGGAAAAATATTTATAGCTGTGCGGTTGCCAAAATCTCCCCACCTTTTTCTTTTTTATATTTTATTTGAGAATGAAGTTTGATAAGTAGATAGCTATCAGTTTATAGTTTTGGAACGTTGTATATTTTGTTTTCCTTCTGCATGTGCTAATTTTATAGAACCTCATTGGTACCATAAAATCTTGTTTCGTATTTTGTTAACTTAGATTTGTTCATTATTCAATCTAAAACGGGAATTTAACTAAAGTGTAAGAAATGGGGGAAAAAGATACATTCGGTGTGGTGAGATATATATGATTCCCTCGTTCTTGATCAGAGGTTTTAGTCAAGAAAATATAATTTTTCCTTGTAGCTGCTAAGGAACGCTATCCTCTTAAATGGACCCTATATGGTGCAAAACTGAGTTAGCCCACTAGTAAAGTAGTAATTACGATACCAAACAGTTAAAATAAAAAATAAAAAAGAGGTGTCTATAATATTTATAAACTAGTGGAAAGCATTGCTGTATTTTATCTTATGGCCGACCTGTTTCCATTAGCCATATTTAGAAATGACAAAAAATTACATATTATAGTACTCATTACTGACGAGTTCCAAATGTTAGTGTAAATTTTATCATAGAAAGTGTTACAAATAATGTTCAAATAAAGTTTCCTAAGCACTGTTTCAGACTCGAGAGAAGGATTTAATGTGATCCTATTGTTAACTATGTGATGCTTAAAATCAGGGGCGGACCTACATGGTGTTAAGGGGTTCAGTTGAACCCGCTTCATCGAAAAATTATACTGCGTATATTGATATATTACGTTTAACGGAAGAAAATTACTAGTATAAAAAAATATTTGAACCCACTTTAACACAAACATGCTCCCAGTAGAAAACTCTAGATTTATTTAAATATCTTGGAGTTAATAAATATTTGTTAAATTAAATTTTTTGAAGTAAAATTTGTTAAATTAAATAGATAAATTTCTTAGAATAGAGATTAAAAAAAAATTTAACCTTCATAAAATATTTTTAGTTTTGTTAAAATTAAAGAGTACCAACTTTAAAATGATTTCATTTTGATAGTGTATTAAGAGCAAAAAAGATAATAAAATGATCAAACCCTACTTATCATACCCGACACCAAGTCACCACTTGTGCTATTTGACACCTTCGTCTTTGACTGAACCCGCTTACGCAAAATTCTGGGCACGCTACTGCTTAAAGTGACATCAATGTTAATCAATTCTTTTTCACTCTGCCCTTCTATATTTAAAGGAAAATGGTCAAGTTTGTTTCTATACCATTTGAAATTAAATAAATTTATCATTTGTTAACATTTTTATTTCATATCACCTATTTTTTAACAACATTTCAATCGATAGATGAACATTAAGAAGCATATTAAAAAGTGGCCGGCCACGCCATTTTTACCAAGGAAATACACTATATTTACCATTTGTAGCTATACTTTCAGAAAATTATCGTTCTTAGCTATATTTAAATTTTATAGCAAATTTACCTGTAGTATTAAAATAAAAGATCAATTATTTTGAACTAAAATAAGAGAGCAACAAGTTCTCATAGTTTTGTTGGTTAGACCACTCGCTTAATAAGTGAAGGTCTTGAATTCGACTCTGAGCATTCTATTTTTTTGTATTTCGGTATTTCGCTTTGATCGTATTCGGTATAGTCGATACGACCCAAAAGCCTATTCACTAGTCACCCCAAGCTTCACAAAAGTGTTGGTTTTTTCTGTCACGTCCCCAAATTCCCTCTGTAGGATGTCTTGATGGCACCTAGACTCTAAGATTTTACGTACAATTTTCCGAAAAGTTTTTATGTGAAAAATGGATTAAAATGTGAAATAAAACTTTAAAAACTCAACTGAGTTGATTTTAGTCAATATTTTAATCAAACGGACCCGAATCAGTATTTTGATAATTTTGGTAGGTGCGTATCGTGATTTGGGGCTTGGGTGTATGTCCGGAATCGAATTTCGAGGTCCCTAACCCGAGATATGGAATTTTGATGAAAAATTAAAAGCTTGAAAGCTTAGTGATTTCTAAGAAATTACCGATGTTTGATTTATTGACCTCGGGGCCGTATTTTGATTTCGGAGTCCAGTATAGGTCCACTATAATATTTATGACATGTCTGCCGAATTTGGTGAGAATCGGAGTTGATTTGACATGATTCGGACGTCCGGTTGTAAAAATATAAGTTTTAAAATTTTCTTGAAAATTTCCTTTGAATTGGTATCTGATTTGTAGTTCTTAGTGCTATTTTGGCGATTTGATCGCGCGAGCAAGTTCGTATGATATTTTAGGACTTGAGTGCATGTTTGGTTTGGAGTCTCGAGGGCTCAGGTTGGTTTCGGATGGTTAACGGATCATTTTTGGACTTGAGAAAACTGCAGAAATCTGCTTCTGATTTCCTTCTTCGCGTTCGCGAGGGGAGTCTCGCGTTCGCGAAGAGAAAATTTGGACTGGCACTTTTGTGCTACGCGTTCGCGACTAAGGGAACGCGTTCGCGAAGGGTCGAGGTGCAAAGCTTGACGTTCGCGATCGAAGCCCCGCGTTCGCGAAGGGAAGGAGGCTGGCCAGAAAAATTAGCCTTCGCGTTCGCGAAGGCCAAGCGAGGCAAGCATCGCGTTCGCGAAATATCCCTCGCGTTCGCGAAGAGTAAAATTGGACAACATAAATTTGTGCTTCGCGAACGCGAGGCATTGACCGCGTTCGCAAAGGGTAAAAATCCTAGAAACAGAACTTAAGTTCTAGAAATGGGGTTTCGACCCATTTTCAACTCTTTTCCATTTTTGAGCTCGGGTAAGGCGATTTATGGGCGATTTTCACGGAAAAATATTTGGGTAAGTGTTCCTTATCCTATATTGATTATATTTCATGATTTCATACTCATTTATATCATGAATCCGTGAATTTATGGAAGAAAAATCAGATTTTTATAAAATCTTTTAAAAATTAAAAGTTAAGATTTGAAGATCCATTTGATATCGGAATTGGACAATTTTTGTATGGTTAAACTCGTATCGGAACGGGTGTTCGAATTTTATGAGTTTTTCAGGGATTTGAGATTTGGGTCCCACTGTCGAATATTTAAATAAATTTTGGATTTTTATCCGGAAAATTAGTAAATTCATATGGAATTAATTCCTATGATTAATATTGAATATATCGAATTGTTTGTGAATAAATTTGAAGCTTTTGAAGATAAATTTAAAAGGAAAAGCTATGGTTGAATAATTGATTGAAATTTGCAAAGCGAGGTAAGTGTTGTGGTTAACCTTGACTTGAAGGAATAGAACCCTTAAATTATTTGTTATGTGAAATGCATGTGAACGACGTATAAGCGTGGTGACGAGTGTCTATACGCCGTCAAATTAATTATTTGCCTGCTTATTTAAAAAATCATAAATTATTTTAAATCATAAATTAATTATTATAATAATTGTTTCTCTCCTATTCTTTGTCAAATATTAATTCTTGAATTCCTGCATTAATTGTTACATGCTATTTGAATTATGTGTTTTAATTGTTATTTGACATTTAGCATATTAAATATTAAACTGCCTATTTTCTCCCTGATTTTTATAATAATTTGCTATTTGTCATTGTTTGTTTCATAATTATTGTATGCTTGTTGTCTTATAATTTTATATTAATTGTTGTATTTATTGGGGAAATTTCTTCTATAAGAATTGGTAAATGAATTTATTGTGAGAGCGGGTTGCACGCTGCAACAGAATTGAATGTGAATATATTGTGAGAGCGGGTTGCACGCTGCAACAGAATTGATGGAAATAATAATTGGTTATAACTGCTGAGTTGGCTTCAATTATTATAAATGAGTTACCTGATTTATTTCTATTATTGTTGTTATTACTGATATTGCGTACAGGAAATGTAAGTGACCCGCCTTAGCCTCGTCACTACTTCATCGAGGTTAGGCTCAACACTTACCAGTATATGGGGTCAATTGTACTGATACTACACTCTGCACTTCTTGTGCAGATTTTGGAGTTGGTCCCAGTGGCGTACCATAGACTTGCTCGGATTTCCGCTACCAAAGGATACTTGAGGTATAACTGCATGGTGTCCGCAGTTCTGAAGTCCCCATCTATTTTACTTTAGCTGTGTGTTTATTTTCAGACAGCTTTATTTTATTCAGACCTTTATTTGTATTCTTTCTAGAAGCTCGTGCACTTATGACATCAATTCTGGGATGGTATTTAGACACCGTTATTTTATGGATTATTTCACTATATTTCAAACTTTGTTTCCGCTTTTGTTTCCTTGATTATTAATAATTTAAAAATTGGTTAATATTATTCTAACATTGGCTTGCCTAGCAAGTGAAATGTTAGGCACCATCACTGTCCAAATGAGGGAATTTCGGGTAGTCACAGTTGGTATCAGAGCACTAGGTTACATAGGTCTCACGAGTCATGAGCAAGCTTAGTAGAGTCTGAAGGATCGGTACTGAGACGTCTGTACTTATCTCTTAGAGGCTATGAAGTTTAGGAACAATATCA